TCTCTGCCAGATACAAGGAAACAATGAGGAAAGCCAACTATGTGATAAGGTTGCAGCTGATATCTTTATGTTCAGCTTAATTCAGCACACCCATTGCAAGACAATATCCTTGAGTATCAGAAATATTTGTTTTCACAGGGAAATCTTTAAGTAAGATCTTATTTAGAAATACTGAGCCACTACAGAGCCCTTTGCTGAGGCAAGGAAGGGGATATGGAAAGGGAAAGAGAAACTTTGATCTTCTTCAGCAAATATTAGCATTCAGACAACCTGGGTTTATTTATAGATGTAGTGTATGGGTTTAACACACACATTTCCCCCAGCAAGCACATTTCCCCTTAAGGACTTAAGGGGAAAATATTGCAAAATTCTTCTACCAAAGCATAGACTTTGCCTGTAATAGCAGAAGAGTTCAGTGATCAGTAGTCCTTCTTAACCTTTTAACCTGTAATCTGATATCCCACATTCTGTTTTTTGTAGGCTCAGAATTGGCGCTGTAGATTTCCCAGAAACTTCTGCTTCCTTTATTCCTGGGATTGGCATTAGTCTATCCATGGCACATGCTTCTGCTACGATCAGTGCAGACTGGAGAATGGAAACATGGCTGCTGTAAGTATTATACAGTGCATTGGGAGTAGGGGAGACAGTTCTGGGAGAGGATTACAAAGATAATTCAGAAAATTAGTTGCCAGTTTTATTTTTTTTAAGTCAGATATGCTTTATCATGTAACAACAATCTGTTTAGATGTTTCCTCTCAAGAAGGAAACATTCCCTGCTAATTAATACTTTGGTTGGTTGGTTAAATATTCTACACCTGAGCATGTCTCTTTGGGAAGTCTCAAGTCAGATAACTGTTAGCATGCTCAGTTTGTCCAGACTGTATATGATAGGAATATTCAGAACCATGGAGTTTGCGATGACAGCATTTGTTACTTTTTTTGACTGTAGCCAATTATCTATTTGCTAGTACAGTGCATATTGTCTTCCAAAGTGTTCATATTATAAGGAGAGTACTGTCAAAATGCCAAACATTCAGGGGTTACGAAATTACACAGTTCAGGTCACTGCGGAAAACTGATTTGGCTTCAGGTGCCTATGTACTATGACGTTGTCTTCGATTTCATGATCGTATACTGATTTTTCCACTTTTTTATCTCAGCATTCTTGTTACAGATTTTTAATATTCTAGATTTTTTTCTTTTTTCTTTTTTTTTTTTTCTTCTTCTTTTTAGAGAGGGAGAGGTAGAACATCTGGGATATCAGCAAAGGTTGCAAGGTACTAATCTCTACAACTGGGGTTAATGGAGTAACTGATAACAGCATTAGGGGACACTCTATTTGTGAGACAGATAAGACAGAAAGATGGATCACCAGGCACCAAGTTTCACCCCGTGTCCTGATTTCAAAGCAGCACACAGCTTTGCATTCGATTTTAGTACTGGCAGCTGGAAACTGCTGTCACAGTGGCCCTAACCTGTCCGTTGTTCATTCTGTCATACCAGCATTGTGAGGAAAAGGATACTGTGTTCAGCAGGGCAAATCAATTGTTCCCAAACACAAAGCCACCTCTCCCTCATGCTGAAGGGCAAGGACCTGGGCATAATCTAAAGGGACCCCAGAAATACAAAACTCTGAAGGCTTCACAGACTGCAGTGGAGACATACTAGTTGAAGCATGCAGGGTTTCAGGGAGGAGGTCAATGCCAGCTTTGTTGGAGTGCAGGGCTGTGAAGGAGTTTTCTTGCCTTTTTGAGGGGCAGAGAGAACACTACGCTCCCTGCTTGGTATGTTTTGTGCATAGCTGTGGATTTAGATAGATCCCAAGTATGCCCCATTCTTCAATCCTCCATGTTTCTTTCAGTTTAGAATAAGAGGGCACAGCTGAAAATGAGCTTTCCAAGGGAGACCCTTGACAACCCAGTCCCCCTGGCTGTTTCCAGGGTCAAGAATTGGGTCTTATCCTAGATTTTAAGGTATCCCTGGGTTCCCAGATCTCACCTGTTGCCCTCCTCTCTACAGTGTCCCAGACCACTCTGCCAGTCATAAAATCTCCTGGCAGGCCCTTTGCTCATGGAGGTCTGGAGCAGGGACCCTGCCTCAATAAACCATGTCCTGTAAACTCATGCATATAATCTGTTTTGAATTCAATGCACGTCCCTAATAGAAGTTAATCCCTAAAAAAGAAACAGTCTTTCTTGCTGATTGAAGCAAGAAGTCCTTTCAAAGTGGATTTATAGATAGTTTCTTAAATTATTGCCTTATAGGACATGTTTCCCTGACTGATTGTTTTGTTTTCTAAGCAGCAAAGACCAAGGAGGAATTACAGTGTCCATCTCAGGACTGTTTATTGCAGTTATCTTCAAAGTATCACGGGACAGCACAGGCCACTTGTCCATATTGCTACACAACTGCCAGCTGAGCGTTAGTAGAGTAAAAGTCAAGTTAAATGGAGGATCTAGGTATGTACAGGAGATTTTGTAATTGCTGTGTGGGAAATAGTAGAGTTTGTCACATGAAGGCCACTTTCAAATTTTGACATTTAGGGATCCAGTTACAGGATACAATTATCAAAGGTTATCAAAATAGGTTTTTAAAGGTCTGTTTTCAAAAACAGGCTCCTTTGCCGAGTGTGTGAAATGTGGTTAATCTACATTTCTCTGAGCATGTGCCAAAAAATGAGCTGACTAGACATAATGCATATGAAAAATTTGCAGCTTGAGTATATTAAATGGTACAAGATTGCAAATAGAAATTTTCAGAAGGGGATTTAGATTGATCATGTGTTGTTACAATCTGACCTACAATTTAAAAATAAAACTTTTTATTCCAAAATAAAATGTGAAGTAATGTTTATAGTTCTCATTACTTTGATTTTCTAGAGAGCTTTATGTCGTATGTAAAGAGAAAATGTGGTTAATTGTTATCATCAAGTTTACATGAATATTCTCAACTTTGCAGATTGCCTTCTAAATAGTTCCCATGAGACTGAGAACAACTAGCATTTTCTGAGACTCACAAATTATTAAAAACAATTAATTGTACAGTCTACCAATATTGCTGTAATAGCATTCCATTAATCTAAATGATATTAATGTTCCAGTCTGGTAGATTTTATATTTCAAAGATTTCAATCCATGATAAAGTCTTTGTGTTTGTTTCCTTTTCTCCAGCTGGATAGCCAGCTTCCTGTCTGGTTATCTCCAGAAGCCCATTCAAAACAAATTGGATGAAAATGTAAGTTTCTAAAGATAATTTCAGCTAGTGAAGGGAGGATTTCAAATACAGACCTTACATTACTGACTTCTCTCTCTTCTCATATAGCTATGCCTAAATATCAAACACAGAATACAAATGATGGATGCACAGCTTAGAAAATATAACGGTGAGTTTTTGAAAACAGGTTTTTAAGTAATTTTCACAGTGCTCAGTTTGTACCATTTTTGTTAGATTCCAAACCTTTCCTGTGTTCACCCTACAAAAAAGTAAAGGGATAAAAACAGAGCCATTTTTCTGTACCTTATCCTGTTCCAGACTCTTAGAAATCTCTTGCAAGAATGTTATGTAGAATAAACAGGTTTCTTCTATGCTCATAGCAGGTCACCTGTAACCCTTCTCAGTTTGTTCTAGCTGAACATGTGTTTTCCTTAGATTTTCAAGTTGAACATTTTCTCACTGATCCTTTATGCTCTTGGTACTGTGGACATAAGAAAACCTGAGTAAGTAGTAACCCACTAAAAAGGTAATAAACATCCCATGCTGCACTGCTGTCCTGCAAGATCTTGCAAACTTATCATATCTTGTTTTAAACTTGTGTTCAGTGAGATAATAAAATGCTGCAGGATGATAGTGTCACCTTAAGCATATTTCTCTTCACATCATTAACAATTCCTGTGTTGCTCTTGTAGAGACATAGAGACAATAGATAAATATGTTCAAAAAGCATGTAAGATTTTCATGATTTAAATCAATAAGTATCCCACAACTTTTCTTTCTTTTCTTTTCTTTTCTTTTCTTTTCTTTTCTTTTCTTTTCTTTTCTTTTCTTTTCTTTTCTTTTCTTTTCTTTTCTTTTCTTTTCTTTTCTTTTCAAGACTAAGAATATTTAACTGTAGCTTTCACCAATTCAAATTTATGTAATTCCACTGTTGTATAATTCATGTCAGATAATTTATTTCTGCTCTTGAAACATTTCAGTTTGTATTGTGGATATAGCTGTTATCAGCTCCATATTCAGAAGCAGTGTGTGTGGAAATTGTTTTTTCCTACAATGGCTTATACCCAGCATGTGCCAAGCACTGGCAAATATTACTGAAGATCGTGGTCATCAAGAACATTATCTTACACAGTTGTTAACCAAACACTTCAGGCTGTGCTGTCATATTGAGGAGTTAATAATCTCTGTGTGAATTCACCATTTCTCTTTAAAACCATGTGATTGTTTTTGCAGTATGAACAGACCTTACAGTGCAGCAATCAGAAACAGCAATCAGTATGAAGTTGCATGTGAGCACTTTTCAGAAAAAAAGGTCTTCAATCATACTGTCTGATAAAGAGCACTCTATTGTTGTGAACAAACATCTCTTGTCTTCAACACTGATATACACAAAAATGTGCTAATGTCATCTTCCAAAGTATTTAGTACTAACTAACCATTTCACTAACCATATAGAATTTTATTTCTTTTGTGCAAACACATAACAAAAAAAGGGGACCCTGCCTAGGTATTTCTTTTACTGAATGGAAGCAGATTTCTGAGGGGCGTATTCAGTTGTGAAACAAGAGAACCAGGCCTTAAACTGGAGGAATTGGTGACTTTCTCTGAGGGGATACTCTGCCTTTTTAACTTTAAACATTTTTTTTTATTTTGTTCTTCCTTTTCCCACTGTTCTTCTTCAGATTCATAATTTCTAGAACACCTTTGCCTTTAAGTAAACAAAATATGTTTGTGATATTTTTGTAGTAATGCTTGTTTTGTTTTTGTCCATTATTTTTCTAGTCTCAAGCCAGATAGATGCCTTTGCACAAATAGACTATTCCCTAGTTAGTTCTCCAGCAGTCTTCAAATCACACATTAACTTGGATTTGAAGGTAATTTGCCATTAATATTTCTGTGCTCTCAAAGACTGTTCTGATACTCTTTTGCATTGATTCATTTTCTTTCACTACAGTCTTACTCAGCCTCTCTGCTATTTAATTAAAAAAGCCATAAGACATTGGACATTTTGGGTAACAGCCATTTTGGAAAACAGATACAATCGTTTATTTAATAAAATAACTGCATTGGTTAATTAACCAAAGTTATCATTTAGAATTAAAATATTTCAGAGTTGGAACTTCTTCAGAGGTGCTTTATAATCAGTGATACATAATCCATGATGGCTACCAATGTGACTGCAATTCTGAGTATTTGTTTTGGGATGACTTAGGGTCCTGTTTATGTACAGTCACCCCCCCAAAAAAAAGACTTCTCACAGAGAGTTCTTGAGCAGCACATAGCAGGTCCTTCTTCATTTATTTTTCACCTTCTCTGGCAAGAGATATCACAGCAATATCCAGTTGTTCCAGCAGCTTCAACAATCTTCGTAACTTAGAGCATCCCTATTGCTCTCAGAACTGGCTTCACTTTAGATAGATGTGCTAAAGTTACAGTTGAAAATCTCCCTCTGGTCATTCTGTTCAAACAACAGTTACCATATACAAAAATAAATAAATAATAATAATAATAAACCTCTGCAAAGAGGGTATACGCAGCTTAACAGTACTAAGCATTATTCAGCTACTGTAGCTAGCTAGAGCTTACAGGATAAGCTTTTTAAGTTGACACCCATGATGAGATACCAGATGAGTCTTAGTCAGTTATTAATCAGGTAAGAAACTTATTAGCCTTCAGTTTTCCTTGGATCAGGCTGATTCTTAATGTTTTTGAGTTGCTATCTCCCAACTCTCAACTCTCGTTTTGGAGTTAGGTGGTATACATGTATAAAGGGTCCTTTGTCCCTCTCTTAAACTACTTCCAGTGCTTTTGGGGTGTGGGGAGGGGTTCCTGAAGATTTTCGTTGAATGTCACTCTTAGAATTAATTTAAATATATCTTTGCAACAAGAGAGAGAAAATTCTGTTGAAGGCGATTTTGGTTCTCTCTCATGGTAGCAGTTCAGAATATTCACCTGAATGCTCAAATTAAAATTTAGAAAGGGTAGAAGCCAGGTTTTATCTGTGTTTTTCCAAAAGAACTTTCATTTGCTGATTTTCAGGGCATATAATCAACTCTCTTGCTTGCTTCAGGTTTTCTTTAAAGTCAAGTTTTTCTTCAGGTAAGAAGATGGAATAAGAATTCTTTCTGTTAAACCACTGCTAATGCATTCTGACAAATACAAATGTTTACAAGTAGAAATACTTGTTAATAACTCATTGCAGGGCACAGTTTATCCAGTAGGAAATCACACAGACCCTCCCTTTGTGCCAGCTCCATTTGGTCTCTCAAACCATGGTGATTCCATGCTCTACCTGGGAGTCTCCAATTATTTTCTTAAGTCTGCTTCACTGGCTTACTACAGAGCAGGGGCCTTTAACATCACCATTTCCAAAGAGGTGAGTATAATTTGCATGTAGTAGAATTATGAATATCAGGAGCATGGATAGTCAGCAAAGGAGATAAATACATTAGGTTTGCAATTTCACACAGATCTGGGTCATGCTTCTATCACTTGTAAGAGTGATCCAGGACATTCATTCTGTATTTCATTATTTTAGATAGTCAAAACCTCCCTCAGACCTGAGTTTGCTGGCAGCTCTAGGCAAGGAGTGACAGATTCAAAAGTCACAGAGTCAGTGTGCAAGGGATGGCAGAAAGAACCAAAGAAAGCTTTTATCTACATAAGATCCAAATAGGAGAGGAAATCATAAAATAGGAAAAAGTGTACTTAAGCCACGGTCTGCTGCATAGAGGCCCACAACAAATGTATTGGCTGTGTTGAGAGCCAGAAAAATCAAAAAGAAAGTACAAGAAAACTAAGCTTTTAGTTGTGGGTGAAGAACATGTAAGACTTCTCCCAGAAACGCTGTTTCCACAGTGACATTAGTAGACAGGGATTCCATGAACTTTTTCTATTGAAACATTGCTAAGAAAGTCTTTATAAAAAGTGCTGACACAAATGGCACTGACAGACACTGTCATAGTGGTCAGCAGAAAAAGGGCAAATGAGATTTTTGAGTCCTTTCTCTGAGAGATTCAGTATATTCCATCTAATAAAGTCACAAAGGCAGGACATAAGCAGCATGCCATGTCTCTTCTTTCAAAAAATAATGCCTACACACTGTTTGGTCAGTGCCTCTGAGACATGAGAAAGAAGTCCATGAGAAAGAAATCTGTCTCTCTTCTGTCCCGCAGAACATTGGCTTCCTTAAGAATCACTTTGGGGCAAGGAAATTGTAAATTAAAACATGGATTATTTAAAAACAAAGTAAACAGAGTATGTTTTTTCAAAGAGAACCTCATTTTCAAGCTGCTATAATGATCTCAGGTTGGAAATTAGGAGAAATTTCTTCTCAGAAGGAGTAGTCAGGCATTGGAATGGGTTGCCCAAGGAGGTGGTAGAGTCACCATCATTGGGAGTGTTTAAGGAAAGGTTGGACATGGTATTTAGGGGCATGGTTTAGTGGGTGGTATTGGTGGTAGGGGGACAGTTGGACCACATGGTCTTGGAGGCCTTATCCAACCTTAATGATTCTCTGATATAATTTATTTAATTTGTTTACAGCTTGCTGCTACATTTAACCTAAATACAGCCATACTTAAAGATTTTGTTCCTGAGGTGGGTACTTCTGCTTGTACAGACCTTTTAAGAAAGAATGGTAGCTGATGTGTCCTGTGGATATTGTCTGTGTACTTGCTCATTTGAAAAAGTTTGGAGGAGATGAGGAAACAGATGGTTTACAAGTAGTGGAAGATTCAGACATACATGTCTTGCCCCTCATAACTCTATGTTCTTCTTAACTATATCACACTACTCTGAAGTCATTCTCTGCTCCCATAAGTGTCAAATTTGCTCTCTGTATCTGAAACAGTTATAAAGAATACGTAGTAGACATCTTCAGGGAAATCAGTCTCCTTTTATTCCTGTTTAAAGTAATGGCATCACTGTTCTTGGCAGCCTGACTTCTCTATGTCAAGATTTCTGCTGGCTGCTGGAGATTATATACAACAGGAAGTAATGGTCAAGAGTAGCAAAGTTTATAAATGTGATGCAAGTCATTAAGATGCTATGAGATGCTTTAACAATTCCTAATGCAGCAACATTTACTATGAATTTATGAAATCAGTTATCTATGGCACTGTAAACTAAAGTTTTGTCCTCGAGGAGTTTCTCTATTTTTCAGAAAATAGGCTGTTCTGGAAGGCTACCTCTCTTCCAAATTCTTCATATTGGCAGGGTCAATGCTTTTTTATTTACATGAATCACTCATTTCTTTAACATGTGTTGCCAATCCCCTCCATCTGAAGTCACTTAAATTATTTCTTCAGATATGTTCAATATTGGTGTGTCTAAAACTTCATCATTTATGACCTCTGAAATTCAGTATATGCCATGCTAATTTAAACATTTAACTTGGTATAATTGAAATAGAGTATTTTGAATCTAGTTTAATTAACTATATTGTTATATAGCACCTGATTATGCTGTAGCCACAGAAACTGTAGTTTAAGAAAAGCTTAAGGTGCAGGAACTTCACAATCAATCTTTTATTCTTTTTGAAACCCCACAGATTGCTCTGCATTATGTAACAGCATGCCCAGTGCTTCTGAAACTGATGGCTACATCACCACCCGTGGTCAGTTTGCAGGCAGACAGATGCAGCCTGCAGATCACTGGCTGTGTAGAAGTGTTTGCTGTTCTGCCAAATTCAACTTCCCAGCACATCTTTACAGGGAATCTAGTAAGTAGCATGAACTATAAGATAACATTCAGTGCTGGAGCTGAACAAATCACACAGGAATCTTCCAATTCGTTTGAAAATCAGAGATCAGCATGAAATGCGTTATGCAGTCCTGCCACAAACATGCATACTGTTCTGTTGCATTTTACAGGGACGAAATATGCGCTACACATTGTAGAATTTAATATGCAGGTACAAGGAGCTATTTATTTTTTCCACGTGGGGGGTTGAGTGGTTATTCAAGAATAAATTTTACTATATATAAGTGATTATCTGATTCCAAGTCTTCCTAATTTATTTGTTATAAAACAGTTCAACATGTCCCCATGACTCTCTTCATTAGGTTGAAAAATGAACCAAGTATGTCAGCCATGCAGGAATTGAAATGAGCTAATGACAAGAAGGCAATCAGGGCAGTACTATCGCTTCATCCAGACAATCCCTGTTGCTGTCAGAAAGCAGCAAATTCACAAATGATTTCACTATCTACGCATACTGACTAAATAAAATATTTAGACATTGTGTTTCCGATCACAAAAAGCAATTGCATTAGTGCCTGTATCTAGGATAGTATCTGCCTCTGTATAGAGTCACAGAAGACTGTTTTGTTTTTTCCTTGCAGACAGCAAGTACCGGAGCCGATTTGACAATAACCAAACAGAAGCTGATAATCTCATTACTTCTGAAGAGGTAAATAAGGAAAATTCAGAAAACAGCATTAATGATCCCAACGTTAGGACCCACCAGAACTTCATTGTGTTAGTCTGACGGTGTTTGCTTCACTGTGAGAAAAAAGAACATTAATTACCTTCTTTCTCACAGGGGCTCCCTTTGACTGCTTAATTTATATCATGCAGATGAAGTATAATAATACCAGGGAACAACTGTGTGTCTTGTACAACATAATATTACCCCTTTCTCAAGGTTCAACACCCCTCAAGATGGCAATGTATTAGTTACTTTAAAGGCGTCTGTTTAAGTCTGTGCTAATGCTGGAGAACAGGGTTCAGTAGTTTATTCTAAACCCTCTACGTGTATTTCCCATGCCATGTCAGCATCATAAAAAGAACTGCCACCATGAAAACACTTTACAAGAGTGCCAGCTTTGTATGCCTTTACATGAGGGGAAGTGAAAAGTAAGACTACAAAGTAACCACACTTGCTGGTTTTGTGGTTACGGACAGTTATGGGTCTTCTCAGATGGCTTACAGTAAATTTTATTCACACTTCAAACTGGGCTATATTTTACAACTCCTTTCTCCCTAAAGACACGCTTGTGTAGAAGCACAGACTCTCAAGCAAGTAGTCCCTACCTGTGTTTCTTCTTGGCAGTTCTGCCCTCCACATTGGGGTAGAATTCCAGAATATATGGTATTTTTTAGTCTATTACATTTTCATTAAAGAAAAACTTAGGCATCTTTTTCTTCGTTTTGATCACTGGGCCTTTTTAACAGGAAGAGGAGACTTGGAGTGATCAGAGCCTGTCATGAGTTCAAGAAATAATGTTGCCACTCAGCCAGGGCTTTTGACATGAGATTGTGTTCTTCAAAATGCTGTGCTTTTTTATGTGTTTGTTTCCCCCAGAATTATGTTTACAACGACCTGAGGTTTATCCAAATCATAACAAACACTTGAGGAATGTGTAGTTCAGCCATTTCAGGAAGTAGTAATTCCAGAGAGATTTTTCTTCCCAAGTACTGTAGTCACAGCCCAAGACTACACATGACTGTAGGAGATTGATATCAGAAAGATCCCAGTAACTCTACAACTGAGTTTTGATTAAAAGCTGTTGGGAAACAAAGAGTCTTTGGCAAAGTAAATTAGCATGAAATCAGTAATTGCACAAATGAGATGTAAAAGGAAATGCAGTTCTCACTGCCTACTATACTTTTGCATTTTATTTCTGTATACACATTATGCAGTACTTAAAGACAAAAAAAATCTTTTTTTTTTTTTTCTTCTGGACTGCAAAGGTGTGTTTCTTCAAGACTGTTCACTTCAGATGGTCTTTCATCTTCAAGCAGTGGCTGTGCATGATTTGTACCTTCATCCTTTCTCATCAATCCTTTTCTTTTACTTCTTCCCCTTAGGCTTCAGTTCTCCCTGCTGAGCAGTACTGTTGGCTTCTCTGAGGTAAGTTGATGGCTTCAGTGCCTAGGAAAGGTATCTGATCTCTTCAGAGATAAAAGCAATTCAACAAAACTTGTTGCTGGAAAATTCTTGGTCTGAATTGGGGATATCATCTGCTACTGCTCTTTCTGCTTTGAAATAGTATATTCTCTGCTTCTCTTTTTCTTTCCAGTAAGAGGAAATACCTCCTGGAGTGTTTTCTTTCTCATCAGAAGCACCAAATGTTGTTTGTTACCATGTAAAATTAATTGAAACAGAGAGGCCTGGGGCTGCATGACCTAGCAAGCTAGTTGATTTTGCTTCTTTCTGTATCCAGCAACACAGAGGCAGGCATGGGGCTAGAACATCTAGCTGTTTCTGTCAGTCAACCTGAATTTACAGATGGATTAAGTAGGCCTAGCAGTAGGAGTAAGTACAAAGTCAAGCTTAAGCTCAGTTTCAAATATCTTGAGTCACTTCAAACCAGTAAAAGGGGAGTAAAAAATAGGGGTTAAAAGAAACAGCAAGCCACTGGTTAAATCTTTCACCATAGACTGAGAAGTGGTCAGGGTGACTCTGCAGCAGCTCAGCCCAACCTACATCTTTAAGTGATGGGAGGAAAATACTAATCACAGTAGCTGAAGACAGAGCACTGAAACAGGGGCAGTTCCTGCCACACAGAACACAATTCAGTTCTGAGAACTGAGACTTGGAAGCCGAGATGAGGTTAAACGGATCATATTCTTACAGTTAAGGTTGATCACAGATACTTTACATACAGAAAAAAAAAAAATCACTTATATTGCAAGAAATATGAACACCCCACCCCATTGCCTTGTATATTTTGCATTGTCCAGATGCAACTTTAAAAAGTTCTTTTTAACCTGAGATTTTCTTTTCCAATTTCTGTTCTGATGTTCTTGCCTGTTACACCAGTTCTAACCCTTCATCTCCATCCTCAGGTTACAATCCTTAGGCATCATACAATAATCACCAGATGTGTTTTCCCCCTTACTGCAGGTCTCACTGGTAAAGAATTTTCTGTCCTATGCTTTACGGAATGTAGTGATGCCAGTAATCAATGGTAAGGATCGTGGCCAGTTCCTGAGCACAGTTGGTGGGAAAGCAAGACTGAAACTGCAAAAGGAAATGCCCAGTTTTAAAGAATGTTACAGGAGGTTTTTTGTCAGTTTGGCTAAATCTGGACTGGTCTGCTCTGTGCTGGACCCTCAATCACCTGAATCAGGCAAGGGCTGGAACAGGGTGAGTCTCAGCATCCTTCTGAATGCTGAGCCTGGGTTTCCTTCTCCCTGAATGCAGTGCAGCAGCAGAGATGAGACATGCCTGAGTGTCATCCCCACAGAGTCAAGCCATGACCAGAGAAGGGCCCAGACTAGGGAAGCTCAGAATTACATCTGCATCCTGGGGCTACAGGATAGCATCAAGAACATTATCACTTCCCTCTGCCTGTGCACTCCCCTGCTGCCCCAGGCAGGACAAAATAGAAACTGGGCTCAGTGGGATACAGACAGTGAAGGATGATGAAGAAGGAGGTAAGGGTGGAAGGAAACAAACTGAAGAGTACAGAAGGTGCTCATGGGGTAAACAGAACCAAAGAGACTGCTGAGGAAGGAGGGGAGATATTAATGAAGAGAAAGGAAGAATGGAAAGAAGAGACACAGAAGTCAGATGGCTGGAAAAGCACGTGGCAGTAAAGCTGGTACTTAATCCACAGAAGTAGTGATAAAGGAGAATAAGAGGGATTGACAGGATTAAAGGATCAGGTAGAGAAGAAAATGAAAGGAAGAGAGAATAAGTCAGAATGGGAAACAGCAGAAAACAAATCTCATGGGGTAGTTAATCTGAAAAGGAGTGGAGGCAGTCAGGTCCCATTGTCATACAACTGAGAGATGTAAGAGTGCTCCCTTTTCACAGGACTTTTTTAATTTTTAGCAAACACAAGTAACAGCTCCCTTGCAGAGGCACAGTGATGACTGATTAAAGGGAAACTGTAAAACTAGTTTAGTTCCTACTGAAAGATGCTTCTGAAGTGTATTTTATTATTACCTAAAGATACATGTATATTTGTATTTGTCCTTTTCTAAGATAAACTAGGAAAAGGATTTCCTATTCCTAACTTCGCCCACACTACCCTGATTGGACCTGTAATAAAAATGAATCAGGTGAGAATCACAATTTCTTGTTCAAGAAAAATGCTTATTTTTCAGGCCTGTGAATTTGTGCATATTGTCATGTTGGGTTTCTAAATGTAGTTAATAGTAAAGCTTTAGTGTAACTATACACTAGATTTAAAATCCAGACTTTGGATGCACCCCACTACCACCACCACCTTAGGGTGCTTTGGGCAATTGTAGGTTATAAAGAGTTCTCTAGCCTTTTGGGGAATGCCAGCAAAGTGAAAACATCACAGAGATAGCTCTGCTATCCCCAGTAGGTCTTAGGAGCTTTGAGTGTGTAAGTTCTCTCTACTCTGCCCTTTCTGTAGTGCAGGAAAGTGAAGAGGCAACCTGGGGTTAGCATCACCCAGCCTTCTGGAGGGTTGTGTTAACTCACATTAGAGCTTATTCATACACTGAGGTCAACTAAATTGCAGGAAGCATAAAGCTACCATTATCACCTGCAGTGCTGAGGTCTTTACCGTGGAATCTAACCTTGAATAAGTCCATCTGAAATTTACATGTTCTTCTTTCCTCAGGGTCATCTGTTGATTTTCACTGATGTTCACTACAAACACGAAGGAGGGGAAGATGAGGACCTTCCAAGTCTATCCTAATGTCGACTTTCAAACAACAGAGAAAAGTGAAGTCTTCCTTCTGTTGGCTTGTTCGGAAGTAGTTGCTACAAGATTAGAAGCATGGTCCTTGGTCACTATTTTTGATGTTTTGTCACTTTTCATGAACTGAATCTGTTGTTTTTAGTATAGCAGGTGTAGCTGACTGTTACTGATATTCTAGAAAACTTGTTGCAGTGTGATGGAAAGGAGTGACTGGTTCTTTTTACTAGTGTTACAAACACCAACGTTTATTAATTTCAGATACCAGTTATTGCAGTTTTCAACTTATCTCCATTAGTGTTAGCAAAACTTTATATAGAGTGGGACCTTATTCTTTGTAATATTTTCACAATGTGTCCCTTTGTAACTGTATTCCACGAGTGGGAACAGGTTATAAAATCCAGTGAATTATCACAGAACACTACAGAATCATAATTTATGTTATAAGTAAACTCCAGATCTAGTCCAGAAACCAGCTAAGAACAGGACTTGTTAAATCAAGTTGCTGAGGGCTATTTCCAGGAAAGTCTTGAATACCTCCAAGGACAGAGATTCCACAACCTCTTTGGGCAACCTGCTTTGCTATTTAACCCACCTCAGAGTAATTTGTTCCTAATATCTTATCAGAATTTCCCATGTTCCAGCTTGTGTTACCTTTTGTCCCACCACCATGCACTTTGAAGAAGAGTCTGGCTCCGTCTTCTCTGTATCCTCACATCAGGAAGTTGTAGACAACAAAAAGGCCTTGCAGGTCTCTCCCCAAGCTGAACAGACTTGATCTGTCAGACTCTCCTAGTAGGGCATGCTCTCCAGCCCTCTAACCATTTTCATCACACCTGCTGGACTTGATCTAGGATGTCAATATCCTTCTTGTACTGGGGAGCCCAAACTGGACACAGTACTTCAAACACAGTCTTGCAAGTGCCAAATAGAGAGTAAGGACCATTTACCTGGACCTGCAGCTTTGTGTTCAACTTACTGTCCACTAAGACTCACAGATCCTTTTATGCAGAGCTGCTTTCTAAACAGCCCCAAGCCTGTACTGATGCAGGGCATTACTCTGTTTAGTCCCAGATGCAAGACTTCATGGTTGCTCTTGTTGAACTTTATGTGGTTCCTGTCAGCCTACTTCTACAGCTTGTCCAGGTTCCTCTGAATTGCAGCCCTGCTCTCCAGAATATTGACTGCTCCCCCAGTTTGGTGTTGAGCACAAACTTCCCAAGAGCACACTCTGTCCCCTCATCTGGGTCATCAGCGAAGGCATTGGTCACAGCACTGATTCCCCATGGGACATCCAGTGGTTGCCAGTCAATATTTGGACTTTGCTGATCACAGCTCTTTGATTCTGGCAGTTTTCCACCTATAGCCTGTATGTCACCAATTTGGTGATGAGACTAACTGATAGTGTTTGAAAGGCTTTAATGAAATCAAGGTAAACAACATCCAGTGCCTTCCCCTCATCCACAGAACCACTCAGCTCATCTCAGAAAGTAACGAGATTGGCCAGACGTGATCAGCCCCCACAGGGAATACCTGTGCAGGCTGTTCCCAGTCACTGTCATGTGCTTTAGAAATGGCTTCTAAAATACTTTGCTCCGTGTCCTTTTCAGGGACTGAGTTGAGACCAACTGTCCTGTATTTCCCTGAAACATCTTTCTTGCCCTTCATGAAGGCAAGTGTGATGTCTGCCTTTTTTCAGTCATGAGGAACTTCTTACTGCCATGACTTTTCA